GCTCGAGTTAATTTTAAAATGAAATGCCACAACCAGGTCCTGGAGTGCTGAGAACTTACCAGGGTTGGATTATGCTGTGGTAGAAGACCTTTGGATTTACAGAACAAAATGGCACGATGTGTTCGTTTGGCTATGTGAGACGCCACAGTGTGTTGTGAGGCAGCAGCGATGTCTTTAACACATGATAATAACTGTCCTTTTTCAACACCTGAGGAAACATAACATATACGGTAATATAATAACGGATTAGGACTGTACACACACAATATATATATAGCCTTATTAGACTGTTGCATTGCTATTCCAATTAATTGGTGTGAGCATGTTAATGCCAATTAATAGTCAAGTCTCCTGTGTACTTCAAATGAGAAGAGATATTTGCATCACATGCAGAGTTGCTGCCTGTTTAGGGTTTTTCAAATCAGTCACTTATAAGCTGCCATTTCAGTCCAGATGCTGCCTAAAAAGGCAGCTGTCTATGTAGGCAGCTCAAAAGCTTTTTGGAAAAGAACCTGTTTCTTTTATTTTAAAGGAATAGATAAAGTACCTTCTTCTCTTTCTTTTTTGTTTATTGCCATTGTCACCTGGTTTCGCAAACCAGCAAAAGAGAAATTGCAGTCGTAGAGCTGCCCCATGGGTGACTTGAAATGAAATGCGAGTCGATCCCCCTCTTTCGCCAGAAGCTCTATGGCTTGTCCACCGCTCAAAGTCGAGCACTCTGGGTGATTCCTAAGAGAAAGTCTTCTAGCAATCTGTCAATGAAAGGAAAGATAAACAGTTTATATTATAAACATCCTACTGCTTTCCTTGTATTTGAAACGGATGTGATATCCTGATACTGTACCTTATCTAAAGTGTCCCCGGCTGCTACATCCAGTGTTTGCCCCAGAAGAAGAAATTCATCTATTCCTTTGGCCAGTGCAAGAAGAGAATGACCCCCCGAGACAAGGAGCACGAGAAAAGGGAAGTCTACGGGGTGTAGCATTCTTACAGTGAGGGCATGTGCCTCCATATGGTGTATAGGGATAAACGGCTTTTCGTGAAGTCTCACAAACTTCAGACTGAAATCCAAGCCGACCCCTAAGCTAAGGGCGAGACCAGGCTTCACTGTTGTGGCCACAGCTGTGAGTTCACTGGGTTCAATGCCACTTCTGTCCAAGGCCTCCTGGACAACTCTAGAGATGTTTTCTCTGTGTAGGAGTTGGGCCACAGTTGGGATAATTCCACCCGCACTGTAAGAGAACAAATGAAATTAAATGCACCATAATTCAGCAGTCATTTTTTATCCTTACCTTATGTATATAAAACTGTATATTTTTAATCACCTTTTTGCTATTTTTGGAATTTGCATACATAGTCCTGACCTGAAAATGACCTACATTTATGAAAACAAAACAAAAAGTTGCAAAAACATACTAAAATTTTGATTTGGATGAGAGAATTCACAAACATTCTAATTTAGTAGTTTTTTAAATAGTCTAATTTAGTAGTTTTCTAATTTGCTAGTAATGGATTAGTATGTTGATTTGATATACCTACTAACTAAAAGCCTGCCAACTTCCAGTGTGAAAATGAAAAAGTGTTTCTTCTCACAAACAAGTAAAATGATATAGAAGTAAAATAACAGCAGAATATCTGAGCTGTTTTTTTCCCTATACAATGACAGTGAATAGTTACTACAGCTGTTATTTTCAGTGAATAATGACTTTACTTATCTGTTTCTTAAAGCTACTGTATAGCTTAAGATGTGAAGTCAGTGTTGTTTTGGTTAAATAAAAACGAAGACTATTAAAAATTGTGGTTTGTGGATTGAAACAAGACTGACATAAAATATAAATATTAGATGAAAAACGTAAATAAAAATTACAAATGCTGCCTTGCCAATTAAGTGAAATAAAATGTTAAAGTTGAAGTACTAAAATTACTTTAACATTGAATAAAAATAAATAAAAAAAAAACATGAAAATATTTTAAAAAATGAATACAAATGACAAAAAAAATCAATTACATTTTTTTTATAAAAACAGCTTTAAATACACAAGTCACATGGACCACTCATGATGATTTTTTTTCTTTTTTTTTTTTGGGAACACTGTGATGGTAAATAAATGACCACAGAATGGCCTTTTGAGAGAACTGTTCCTTTAGGATCATGAAAATATGTGATTAGTGTTACTCTATGCATCAACTGAGGACATTTATGAAGTCAGTGGCTATTCTTACTCCAGGTGTGTCTTTTTCTGAGAATGCAGAGATTCTCCCCAAATCGCTCCAGTCTCGTCCAGCACAGCCGCCCCGGTCTCGTCGCAGCTCGTCTCAATCCCCAAAACGAACCGAGAGCGCAGTGTACTGAAGGCTCTTCGGGACGTGCAGTGCTTCATCCAGAAGCGAGCAGCTCCATTCAGAGCGCACGGGAACATGCTGATAAACACTGACGCTTCACTGTCGATTCCACTGGATTATCACTGATTTAACTCGACGGTAATCTGAAAGGATACATACGCTTCAACAATTAAAGCGACTCGAAAACACTGCTAACACTGCACTTGTATTTTCTTGTAAAACTTAATTTATGACCCTGTATGATCAAGGCGTTACTTATAAATACACCCTACTCACAACATACGTAAAGTTGGGTTCCGTTAGACTTTCTTTAAGATGAAAATGATAAATAGTATTATAGAAAAACAGATGTCTATACCCATTTGATGAATAAATAAGTATGCTAATAATAATATCATAGCTAAACGACTTATAAGTCTAGAATAAAGAGCAAAACGGAACCATTAGCGCTTGCGCTGGTTTCCAATGGGATAATAATACAGGAGGGATCAAGACTCGCATGGGAGAGATGTTTTACACAACATGAATTCTTCACACTTGGCTGCTATAAAGAATGCTGTTGGACAATTTCTAACTTATTTGATAATTAAAGGTCATTGTTCCTCCAAATAAGGTAAAGGTCTATCAGCTGCACGTGTATTTATAAATTTAAATTAATTCATTCTGTTTTAAATATTAAAAATATATATAGGCTCTTAAAAATATTTACTTTTTACAAAAAAAGTTAAAATATTATCAATGTATTACAATGTTTTTTTTTTACACTATCCATTTAGATACATCTCTGTATTACAGTGTGCATGACTTTTATTTTAGTATGATTAAGATACGTTTATGGTTTTTAATATTTTTATTTTCTTTGGCTATTTTCAGTTTTTTATTTTGTTTTGTGTGTATTTTTGTCATTTGTATTAGTTTTTTATGTCTATATATATTATTTCAGTTTTTGTGTAATTATTTTAGTACATTATGTTAAACTAAATGAAAATGAGAAAGCTCATTTTATTTCAAATAACATACGTTTTTTGTTATGGATTTATTTAACTATATCGATGAGGACATTTTGAGTCTCAGACAGTTTTTCAGTCAGTATAACTTTTACTGTCACGTTCTGCTTCTGCAGATGACATCAGGAAACCCCTGACAATCTATTAAATGGATAGAACAAGATGGAGCCACAAGCCAAAAGAAGGAAAGAAATGGACAGATATGACACTTGGGATGTTCTTCCAGTTCTCTCTGACAAACAGTCCCGGGACACTGAATTGTTGCTGGCCTATGCAGCACCTATCATCGAGAAAAGACAAACATCTCGCCTGGTCAAAGAGCTTTCCCTGATCTACCCTTTACCCGGTCTGCAGCACATAAAAAGAGTGAGGGCTTGCAAAGACAAAAGCACTTCTCATCCATTGGAGGTCATTGTGTGCTTGGCCAGGGATGTGCAGGTGATAGACTGCAAAGGAGTTACGCTTGCTGATCTGCTTTGCTCACAGTCTTTTCACTCCAGTGGTTTGGGAGAACCTTTCCTTGTCGAAATACCCGCCAATCCTCCACTAACCAGACCGCAGTTTGAAAAAGCTAGTAAACACTGGCCTACATCATTTCACGAGGACAAACAAGTGGCGTCTGCTCTGAGAGGCCAGTTATTCACTACTGATCAGAAAGCTAAAATGCAAAAGTACATGACGGCAGCTGTAGAGGCTGCAAAATCAGGCGGGATGATGGGAATGGATGCGGTGGGCGCAGTGATTGTTGACCCAGAATCGGAGCAGATTGTTGCAGTGGGTCATGATTGTAAGCACGGCTCTCATCCGCTCCATCACGCTGTCATGGTCTGTATTGATCTCGTGGCCTGTGGGCAAGGAGGAGGCACCTACAGTTACGAGAAATATCCAACCTGTCGGTTTAGCAGCTCCGAGTCCTTTAGGAATGCTTGCAATGCCAAAGAAACCGGTCTGCCTTACATCTGCACCGGATATGATCTTTACGTCACTCGAGAGCCGTGCGTGATGTGTGCAATGGCTTTGGTGCACTCAAGAATCAACAGAGTGTTTTATGGAGCGTCCTCTGCAGATGGTGCCTTGGGAACCAAGTATAAAATTCACTGCCAAAAAGATTTAAATCATCACTTTAAAGTGTTTAAAGGTGTGATGCTAAATGCATGTGAAGCTTTACACAAAAAGTGATTTTTTTTTTTAATAATTAGAGGCAATATTACGTTGACATTTTAATTGTTTTTACATTTCTAACTACAGCAAATGTTTTTTAAGACCATAATAACAAGTATTAAAAATTGTTGTCTACCTTTAAATTTCATATTCAATTTATCAGACCATCAAATCATGTGTCCGCACAACAGTTTCCAACATTGAGATTAAGAAATGTTTGATAAGCACCACATCTGCATATTTGAATGATTTTTGAAGAATCATGTGACACTGAAAACTGGAGTAATGATGCTTAAATTTCAGCTTTGACATCACAGGAATAAATTACATTTTAAAATATAATAAAATGGAAAGCAGTTATTTTAATATATACAAATATTTCTAAATGTTACAGTATTTTTGTTTAAATAAATCCAGACTTTGTGAGCAAAGAAACTTTCTTAATATTTAAGAAATCTTTCCAACCTCAACTTTTTGAACAGTGGTGTTTATGATTGTACGAGTTTATGATTTACATTAAATGTATTTTATATTTCACACAATTTATTTCTCTAGTGAACAACAGCGTTTCTAATACTTTGCAACGTTTTATTTGTTTGCTGCATGTCATGCAACACACCACATACTATGTTCATTCCTTTTCTCAAAACAAAAGGACAAAACAATTGGCACAGTCGAGCCTTCGCGAATATTGTCAAAAGACAAGAAAGTGGAAGAATACAAATAGTTTAATGGGTCTATGTTACAGTTTCTCAACTTCAGTAATACTGACAGAAAAGAGCAAAGAAACATGATGGCTTGCTGAAGCTTGGTAATGATCCAGACATTTAAAATGACATACTGAAATTGAGCTAAAAGTCAACTTGAAATATTCAGATTCAAACAGAAGATGAAAAAATGTAGGGAAGAACTTGATGTTTTGTTTCAGGGCAGAGGATGCAGTTCAAAATCTATAAGGAAATGTTCTTTGAAATAATGTACACCAATAAAATGTGCAAAATGAGACCAGAAATATGTATTAAATTAAGAAAGTTCTATTTTTGATTTCATGTCGACTCGGTACTTAAAAGCCTAAAAGTTTTGTTCATGTTAATATTTTTCATTGTCACTTATAAGCTGTAAGACATTAACTAAACAAAACTACACATAGTATTGTGATGAACAAATATTTTTCAGGAAATCATGCAAACTGACTTTTTATTTGTCTCTGAAGCAATGATAACATTAACGAAACAGCAGAAAGGTTTCATGGCTTTTAAATGATTTTAAAAACACATTTTGTCAATTCATGGAATTATCTATGAATGTATTCAGAAATGTGAAGTGACGCTAAAAGCATAAAACTATCTTAGTGTATCAGTGTTGTGAGCACATTTGAACAAACAAAAACTAATTAACGGAAAAAGAAATTAACCATGAAACCTGGGCCAGCCCAGATCCACGAGGATCACAAAACAACTAACGAAAACACATTAAATATCTTAAGTTATTAATGCTTGTGGAATTGTCCTCCTAACTTGTCCCTACAACAATTTCTCAAGATATATCAAACAAAGAGACTCACAATTACACAGACTGTACAAAACTGCTAAGTGTACACAACTGCGGTACAAAGTACAAAGGGTTATCTCCTCTCCCACATCAGGCAACAGCTCCGAGTTGGTCTGTGCCCTCTGAACACTGGGCTTAATACTTGTTTATTCCAAAGATCCTGACTCCATGGAGTTGTGGCAGTTTGGGGATGAGAACACTCAAAAGCGAAGCTGTGTTTATCACAAAATGAGCTGTGTCGTATTTCGTGTAAAAGCTGGCGAGAAAATACCTGCAAAGAAAAGAACAAGTGTTACACACTTCAAAATAAGTACAGGATCTTATATGATAAAGGTCTTTAATGACCAAAATATGTCTGTAATATTCACCATTCACATTTAGGTAACATTTCAGATGAGAAAAGTTAACTTATTGATTTTTATATTTAGTTCAAAATATTGTGCAATTGGTTGGTTGGTGTTTTAACACCAGTCCAGCTTTCTTTGACATTTTCATTGTGAGTAACAAGATGAAATAGTATAAAAGAGCAATTTAAAAACCTGTATCACCTATGTTAAACATTTCTTTGAGAGGGTAAACGTTGTGCAAAAGATGGCAAAAATAACTTACAAAATGATTGGTGAGATTGTAAAGAATTTTCTAGATGATGTGAACTGCACGCCGTAGTCCAGCTGTTCCCAGTGTGTGAGAAGTCTTGCCTTTCCCTGGTCTGGTGTTTCAAATGGTGTGCCTTTCACTGCATGCATAAACACATACATACCCTGCGGGAAGATAGAAAGATGATCCAAATGTCAACCCATTCTCAAATGTCGTAACAATGGGACCTCTTCATATTAAAGGGATAGTTCACCCAAAAAAGAAAATTCTGTCATTTACTTACCCTCAAGTCATTCCAAACCTGCATGACTTTGGTTGATCTTCTAAACACATATTCAAGTTTTTTAATGAAAAGCAGAGTCCGTGCCAAACTGGTGGGGCATTTGCTTTTCTGAGGGGGCGTTCCAGGCCCCCTCAGTAAAAAAATAGGTAAGGTGGGGGGGCACAGAGACTGAAGTGGCCGGGACAGGCCCCCCTTGGGCCCACTCGTGGCGCAGACACTGACGAGACGTGATAAAGTTTCTGTCCCTCCATTAAAACTCAATGTAACCAAAACTTAGAAGATCCAAAAAGGTCATAAAGGCATCATCAAAGATTTGAGTGGCTTAATTCAAGTGTCGTGAGAAGATATGAACACATTCTATGATGATCAGATTTAATTTAGGCTTTTATTTACATCTAAACAGTGCTCAACACACATACAGAGCAAACCAAACCCCAGCATCAAGCTTCTTTGCTTGCCATATGTGATGTACATGTATGCATTTATGTCTATAAAAGCCTAAATTAGACTTGTTCATCATATAAAGCAACTTTTATGACCTTTCTTGATCTTCTAAGTTTTAGATACTTTCAATTAAGGGACAGAAAGCTCTCAGGTTTCAATCAAAATATCTTAATTTGTATTTCAAAGATTAACCAAAGTTTGGGTTTGGAATGACATGAGGGTGAGTAAATGATGGCAGGGTTGTCATTTTTGGGTAAATGAACTTATCTTTTTACGCTTAAATGGATAGATGAAGAATGAAAGTCAAAGCGTTTCAGAACAACACTGGACCTTACTCACTTTCACTGTATGGACAAACAACTTTTTTTTTTTTTCTTTTTTTTTTAAGTTTTAATTTTTTTCAAGATTAGTATAGTTAACTATACTAACCCTGACTTTAACAAGTCTCAAAATCTCTTTGCAAATGAGATTTGAGAGCTTTAGTGGAGACAAAAATGATTAATGAACAATGACTTAAATTGTTCTATTTTTTCCTGGAAGGCTATCATATAACTTCGGAAGACTTAGAATATAGATGTGTGATCATCCTTCCCTCCTATCACTTACACTTACTAAATTTGTCTTCCATGTCAGGACAACAGAAACATTAGAGTATCCCATCCCTTTATCATTGTGGCACAAGCTGTCATACATCATCATGTGCCAGAGAGCTTAAACTTGGTTGGTGATGTCATGCTGTTGACCTTGAATCTTTGTGCGAGCGAGTCCTTACATAACAATGCCACACAGACTACTAAGGAAGCATCAATTGTCGAGACTCCAACTGGCCTCGGGGCACCACTGAGAAAATGACAACCCATAGACAGGGGAATGAAATTGGATAGAACAAAGGATTATTCAACAGGGGACACTTACAAAATTGTGAATAACATTTGTGAGGGTCCACACAACAGGAACACTGAAGAAAGGAATGCTCAACAGTACAATGTGAAGCATTCCTACGCCAAGCGCATAAGTCAGCCATATCCCTCGACTGTTCATCACACGGGTGTTTGGGTTGACTTCACTGTGGGCCACACCGACGTTCATCTTGCTTTTCTGTCGATAGACAAAAAAACAGTACACTGTAAAACATGATTTTTAGAAGTTGTAAATAAGAGTTTACTGGAGTGCATTTTACAAGAAAAACCGAATTAGTATTTTCTATTTCAAAGTTGCATATTTGATTCAATGCTACTCGCTGTTTCTTTGTTATTGGTTGTGAAATTTGCTAGCAATTTCTGTTACACTTTATTTTGTGTCCTTGTTACAGTGTAATTATACATTTAAGTACGGAGTAATATTAATTAACTACATGTACTTACTATATGGTTAGGGTTAGGATTAGGGTTTGGTTTAGAGTTACTTGCATGTAATAATGCACAATTTATTGTTTTAATAATAGTAAGTACATGTAACATGTGTAACAGGGACACCTTAAAATAAAGCGTTACCATATCTTTTTTGGTCCTTACATTGAAAGTCAGTGGGGTTGTTTCATTGTATGGGCAAAAACAGTTGAAACATTCTTCAAAATAAATTCTTCTTGTTCCAAAGAAGAAAGTCATACTGGTTTGGAACGACATGAGGGTGAATAAATGATCACAGAATTTTCAGTTTTGGGTGAATTGTCCCGTTAACCTTACCTTGGTATAGAGTGTCTGACATTGAATGGGCCAGTAGGACAGTGATTCCTTTATGCGTAGATATTTTTTTATCTAATCGAAGTAGGATACTATCTTTACTGATGTCTGACGTCAATCCTGTGCAAACATGGACCCTTGTGACAGATTCTTTAATATCAGGCATACATGTGCGCACACATTGACTTTTACTGCTCTCACGGCTCCAAACTGCAGGCTGATATTTAATGGTTTCCAGTGCAGTGCGAGTTTGTGGGTAACTGGCAGTTTACCTTTTAGCACTTGGATTCAGATCACATACTTTTTATTGCACGTGGATCATGAAACATTCCCACTGTGCTGGAATGTGCTTCTCACAGCGTCCTTTGACAGACGGCTCAAAGCACATAAATGTAATCCTGTTTAATTAAAAAGGTGCGCTAAGATATTAAAAAGAGTGGAACAAGTATAAACGTAACACGTTAGCGTTCCTCATGCTGTTTTTTCATAAAAATCCAAATCTCACTTTGTCCTCACCATGCTCTCTCTCTCTATCTAGACCGATACTACAGCTCCAATCAGAACCTGATCACAAGGGTGCAAGAGTTAGCATCCGCTAAAGAGGTGTGGTTCCGGGCAGCAGTGATAGCAGTTCCCATCGCGGGTGGGCTTATCCTGGTTCTGCTGATTATGCTGGCGTTGCGAATGCTTCGTAGTGAAAACAAGCGTCTCCAGGCCCAGCGCCAACAGATGCTGTCTCGCCTGCATTACAGTTTTCATGGACACCACCATGCCAAGAAAGGCCACGTGGCCAAGTTGGACTTGGAGTGCATGGTGCCGGTAACGGGTACCGCAATTTCTGATTGAAAACTGTTTCTACACATGATTTTTTAACGTAGTCCAAAATGTCAAAATGGAAACTGCGAGTCAAATAATACATTAAATGCAACAAAATCTGTATAAATAAAATAATTAAATTATAAAGACCTGATTACTTAATTGTTAATTAAATAATACATAATATAATTAATACATAAAATAATTAATAAATAAAACATAACATTTTGTATTTACATTTTTTTTTTTTTTTTAAAGAAATTATTAAATCTGACAAAAAAAACAACATAAAATTATTTGGCTAATCAATTAACTTATAACAATGAATTGATAAAATGACTAACATAGATAAAAGTGTGTTGTGATTAAGTGTTTTTTCATCAGAACTAAAAGTAACATTTCAGTGTCAGAATCTATTTAGCAGCAGTCTAGTTAATTTCAGTGAAATAAGATGTAAAACTGATTGTTAACTATTCAAATGAACGATCATTTATGCACTACTAAAATCTACAATCTATAGTAGTTGTTTTATGGCTTTAAAAGTAATAGTTAAGAGTGGAAGCTGTCTTACAGATGATGTCTCGTCTATATGCCAACAGAAGCATGTTCACAAACACACAATGGGGTAATTCTTTATAGTACTTTGCCCTAATGCATTACTGTTCGGTTCGGTTCTTCTTTGGAAGAGCAAAAGGGTGAAAGTGACATTTTATGGCCTGTTTGCTTTATCCTCCTTGGTAAACATTCTGTGCAGCTGTTCGAAAGTCAAAGTTCAATGTTACCTAATATACAGCTTACTTTTTTGGTTGTTTCTCATCTAATGATTTCTCACCAAAATCATTTACTCATCTTGGTTTCTACTCACCAAGTCAATTGCTTTTTGATATATGTTACAATGAAAGAAAACATCCACAACAAAATGACATTATTTTTTTTCTGTTATTATTTCTCTCATACAAATAAATGCAATAAAAGCAAAACAGACTGAGGTCAAAGGTTTAAGGCCTGCTACGGCAACATCAAATAACCACTCAATTGATTCTTCCCTAAATATGATTCACTCTTTGATTGTGTAAAATATGTAATATGTTTTTTAATATCCAGTGAGACAGCAAAACAGTTAAGAGGAAGTAATATTGAATAGATGCTGCTAATACGTAGCTTCACGTTAACGATAAAGACAGCAGACTGAGCATTAACATTTTGTTTTTTTTAAATATTACATAAAAATTCATGTTGGTTTTTCAGTAGCAGCTGCAGGAGATAAACAAGTCCATGACACAGATAGAGTTAGCAGCACAGCTACATAACAAATCCCTGTCTTATTCCTGCACAGCTTACTGTCTTCTTTCATTCAACCACTTGAATAACTCTTTAAACATGCTCCAGTCTGTGCTATTATAGTGAGTTGCTTTAGGTTTTGCGCATGAGCAATGCTCTTTATTTAGCATCAGCTGCTTTCATAACAAACACCAGTTGCTTTTGTTTCACTCTACTTCCATTAAACACCTCAAACATCAATAAAAGCTCTTAAATCCCACCTTTATCGGCCGATTTTGGCCCATTTGGTTTTAAAGTAGCTGCACAAATGCGTTGGTTTCATAAGAGTTAAGTAACGGTACCTTGTTTGCGTTCGGGTGATGCAGGCTGGAGAGCTGCCGGCCTCCGCTGCGCGCACTGCAGGCTGACTCACTGCACACACTCCGCTAGCACAACGGCTATCGCGGCTAACGGGATTAGAAGCGCAAACCTCGCGAGATTGGCGTGACACGCCCACCAAAAGGCATAATGTTTACAAAATGAAACACCACTAACGAAGGTTTCAAATTATTTTTTTTTATGATAGGGCAAGAATTGGGTTGCTATTAGTTAGTCGGTTAATGAGTGGAGTTTTATTTGACCGTTTGTAAATATAAAATATCAATAACATGAAAACATGCTAATTTTAAGGATTTGTATACTTTTTAAACATAGCCATAACAATTAAAAATGTCATTTATTGATTTATAAGCAATATAAATACAAAGATACGACAAAGAAAAAAAAGCATCCAATCAAAGCAGAGAATAACAATGACGTAATTTAGGCGCCAGGTAAGTCATATCCGATACTGGAGGGAGTCTTAAAAAGATGTGACGTACACTTGTGTAATGAATTTATCGGATAACTTTTAACGGATTATTGTTATTTTACGAAATGTAAGTCGGAAGATGTTTGCCCATTTTAAATATAACTGTAAATATAACGTATCATACTGTTAATGTCACGGTTGATCGTTAGAATTTACGCTACCCTGCAGTTTTTGTCGATAATCTGCGAAGATGACAGGTTTGTGGCCATTGTTGTCTCAGTTTTAAAACTTTTCTTCTTAGGGAGCACACTATGAAGGCGCTTCCACCGGAGACTGTGCGTCTGCTGTGCAGCTCTCAGGTTATAACATCTGTTCTGAATGTTGTCAAAGAGCTGGTTGAAAATTCACTTGATGCTGGTTCCTCAAGCCTTGAAGTCAAACTGGTAAATGCACGTTTTATCAACAAACATAGTGGCCAGTATTAGGACACTTAAATGTATTCATGTCATTGAGTTAGTTTTTTTCTTAAATAAGTTCTAGCATCATTAGTTTGCAGATGCAGCTTTGTTTGATATTTTGTTTCTAGTGCAATGACATTTATAAATTGTTTAAGCGTGGCTTAAGTGTTCAAATATTGTTGGGGCCACTCTTAATAGCTATGCTAAATCTATGTTCATGTTTCTTTGTGGTCAGGAGAATTATGGATTGGATCGCATTGAAGTCAGAGACAATGGTTCTGGAATCAAAGCTGCTGATGTTCCTGTGATGGCAGTAAAACACTACACATCTAAAATCTCCTGCCACGAAGACCTGCAGCGCCTAGAGACGTACGGCTTCAGAGGAGAGGCTCTGGCATCCATATGTGCCATATCAGAGGTTACATCTCACTAGTTTATATTTGATTTTATTGCTTGAGTTAGTGATGCACATAAAAAATAGTAGCTGAAATCGTTATTACGAAAATGATGAAAACAATTATGGCTGATATTAAAATCCTGGATTATTATGGCTGAAAAATAAAGTATACTAAAGTAAAATCATTCCTTTTAAATGCCAAAAGTGAATTTAGGCAGTACTGTATTATAATGTGCAGTTTAAAAAGCCTTCATTTTTTGAGATCTTATAAAGATTATGTTAAATTAAACATAAATTAAAATGACTTAAATGATTACAATTTAAGTGAAGTGATATTAAAGATGAAATTTAGAACTAGATGATGGCAAAAGTACAAACGGGCAGAAATTATGTGCATAATTATTAAATATTCAGTAACTTCCAGTATCCAATATTGATTGACACTGATAAATAAAAAATGCGAATATTGGCAGATAACTCCAGTGGTACCAAAATACTGTGCATCTTCAATGAGTCCATGAGGATCCTTTTTATTCATTGAATTACAAATGTTGAAAATGTTTCCTCTGTAATTGACCTTTTCTTCACCTACCAGGTGGTAATTACAACCAGAACCACAGATGATGATTTTAGCATTCAGTATTCAGTTGATCACAATGGACAGATCGTCTCTCAAAAGCCATCACATCTTGGCGAGGGTAGGTGTCTGCTAATGCATTTTTTTTAAACTCTTGATTTATGGGAACAACAGACTGCTTCTAACATACCTTTTCCCTCAGGCACCACTGTGTGTGTAGCAAATCTGTTCAAGAACCTCCCTGTCAGACGGCAGTATTATTCCAACACTAAGAAATGCAAAGAGGAACTGAAGAGGGTCCAGAACTTACTCATGGCCTATGCTGTTGTTAAGCCTGAGTTAAGGATCACATTGAGCCACAACAAGGTATGTTACGGCTTTCATGTGTTAACTTTTTGACTGTGCAACTACAATGTCTTTGAACAAGAATAGTGGTCAACTGATTTTTGTTGCCCAAAGTCTAAAAACACTTGAAAAATCTGGGATTAAACTGGCGATATATCAATATTTGTAAGATTTCAAACTATTTTTTAATGGAATATGTCATGATGGATAAAATGAACCTTACACATTTTTGTCTTCAGTTATAAGTTGTTGAAAAGTATTAGGTCGTTAAAAAAGTATTTGGTCTGTACGCCTTTTTAATGTTTTTAAAAGAAGTCTCTTATGCTTGATAAGACTGCATTTATTTGATCAAATAAATGATGCATATAATATATATTTTAAAATGTACCGGTAATTTATTCCTGTGATGCAAAGCTGAATTTTTTGCAGTCATTACTCCAGTCTTCAGTGTCACATGACCCTTCAGAAATCATTCTAATATGCAGATTTGATGCTCATTGTAATGTAATTATTCTTATTATCAGTTTTAAGTACAGTTATGCTGCTTAAATACCTTTTTCAGGATTTTTTGATGAGTAGAATGTTCAAAAGAACAGCATTTATTTGAAATAGAAATATTTTTTAACATTATAATTATATTTATTGCCAGTCAATTTAATAAATCCTTACTGAATAAAAGGCAAAAAAAAAAAAAAAAATCTTACTGTCCCCAAACTTTTGAATGGTAGTGAACATTTGACCACAAGGTGGCGTCCCACATCAAAAAATACTGTGGTATTACTCTAGGGTTTTACCCACATTCAGTGACATTTAACCATCACACAGCAGGATGTCAGTTATCAGCTAATAGTGTTCGACTAACGTTAATTAGAACTTATGTAACTTGTTTATTGCTGTGGTTTCTCACTACTGTATTGACTCTGTGCTTCCTCGTAGCAGTTTCAATCTCATGTTTTAAATCCTGATATTAATCAGCAAAGTTGATAAAAGAATTTTAACATGCCATTCCATGTATGTGGATGTAATATAACAATGATGTAATATAACAATGTTTTAAAAAAAAAATTGTTTTAAGTCCTGTAGGAAAACTCCTGAATGTTGCATGCATGTTATGATGACAGCCTGGACATTTCCAGCATTTATACATGTTTGAATTGTCATAAGTTAGAGCGTAACCCGGAAAAGTGGACATTTCGCCTGCTTCTCGTCCAAAATTAGCAATGCAACCACTGGATGAACCACTAAGCCTTCGAATCTCACACTGCCACATGATCCTAAAGTAACAACCTAAGTGGTATAAGTTCTCTGAGTGTTTTCGCAAGTTCAGTAACAGCCTGGCCTCATGATAGCATACGTATCTGGCCTTGCTCGGTGAGACCTTGCGTACCTTTCATTAAATTCATATCATTCTGGTTGTAGATCATCGGGGGAGGGCCATACACTCATTTCATGCCATCAGCACTTCCAGGCATATCTCGTATCACAAACTTTGCACTTCACCCTGCATTGGGTTTCATGACTTCTCAAAAAGCTGTTTACTAGTCTGATCTCTTTACAGTCACCAAGTTGTATATTTCATAGCAGAGATGTGTGCTGCGGACCGCATGCTTTCAGAAATCAACACCTTGGATATATATACTTGCATGTGGAAGTGCCAACGACAGGCAAACGCACGGGTGTGAAAATATATGCGTAACTGCGCTCCTCACGTTGAAATGGCATTTGTGCAAATAGCATGTTTGCTTGATGCTGCCAGATGGTATAAAATCCTCATGAAAAGTTGGCAAGGCTTGTCCATGCAGTGCTCCCTGCGCAGTTGCTTTTGTAATATCCAAACATTCTCCAAAGTATAATTGTTTATTGTGAAGACTTGATTGGTGGCTAATGGCTGTTTGCGAGCATGCAGTCCCACAGGTGGTCTTATTTTAGGATGACCGAAAAATAACTTGACCTGTTTTACCGTGTTGTTACAGGCTGTGGTCTGGCAGAAGTCCAGGGTGTCGGATCACCGAACTGCCCTCATGGCCGTGCTCGGAGCGGCCTCCGTAGCCAACATGCTCCCCGTCCAGCATCACCAGGAGCAACCAGAGGTCAGTGAAGCACTGAGAAAACACGAGCATATTTATCGTTTCCAGCATGAGCAGTAGGGTTCCACAGATGCACCAGCTCTGGGGCTGCCATGACGGTTTGCGATAGGAAACTCTTTTTCCACAGAATGTTTTCATAAAAGAGTGTGCTTCAAGGTTCAAACAATCAGGGGGTTCATTTCGATTGCATGTGTCTTGAGCTGACTTTAAATGTCCCTGCACTTCTGTCAGGTTGCTAAACCTAAAGACTCATGTAACAACTTAATTCCGAACGGCTTTCCTCTCCCTGGAGAGCTGTTTCTCTTTTTCCTGGTTGTGCATTCCGCAGCGATGACTTTTTGCATGAATGACTCAGCATTCTTACCCAGGTTATACCTTATATAAAGCCTTTTAATTTTCTGGATAGGATTCAAATTTCTAGCTAATATTTGATATGTATACATAGAAATGCTGTGGCCCTGAAGTGTATATGGACACTTTTGGACACATCATACATAAAAATGTTTGAATGGCATTGCATAGATGTCAAAATGTCAAACCAAGTGGCATTTACAAACAAAATTTGAAGTCAGTTCTACTGAAGCTTGTGAAGCTACTGAAGGTGTCATAAAAATAAATATATTTTTACTTAATTGGTAACCTAACAATCTTTTTTATTTTTGCCTGAAAAGTGTATTTGTGCTGTTATTTCTTTAAAATAAATGCCTCTTTGGTTTGATATTTTGTTATTTAATGCAACTACATTTATGCATTTTAAGGGTACTTAAGTATCCAAATAT